TAAAACTCAAAGCCCCCTATGCAGCATCACATGGTCTCATTTCTGCCCCTCTCTTTGACCTCACCTTCTTCCACTTTTTCCTTTTCTCATTTTCTTCTAGATCTATGCCTTTTTAAATGTTTCTTCTTCCCTCAGGACCTTCACACTTGCTGTGCTCTCTACCTGGAATATTCCTTTCCCCCAATCTTTGCATGGCTGGCTCCTTCTTGTCGTTCTTCTCTCAGCTCAAATGTCCCTTCACAGAGGGGCCTTCTAAGCCCTAATGGAACACTGTCCCCTCAAGACACTGCCATGTATCATACTGTTTTATGTGAGAAAATGTATCGCAATCTGAATTTATCTAATTTATTTGTTTACTTATTTATTGTCCAGGTCTGCCCATAGTATGTACAGATCTATAAGACTTTGGCTTCTTTACTGCTGTATTTCCATGCCTAGAACAATGCCTGGCACACAGTAGGCACTGAGTAAATTATCTATTAAATGAATAAACCTTATAGGAGAGAGAAGTTTAAAGTCAGGAAGGCAAAAGGCTTGTGTAAGGTAAATATTTTAATTCACCCATAAATGTGGCAAGATGCTCCCTCTATAAGGGGTAACTAAGATCCATCAGCAGATTCCCATCTCACTTTCAGTATGGAACAGGCCCACAGAAATCAAGGGGTGCAAATTTGTCACACAATCTAAATTATTCTGTTTCTCTTTTTTTGACCAACCAACCATATTTAGCTGAATTAACTTCAATGAAATCAGCATAATGTGACTCCACTGTAACTAGATATTATTCTGTAGTATTCTATACTTCAAATTCTGCCACCCCAATAAGATGATGTGCTGTGTAAGATAGAGACTACATCTTATGTTTCTCTTCTAGCACCTGCAGACCAAGAAAGTACTGAAATAATAGGTAAATCTAAGTCCAGCTACCAAATTACTGGCTGAACTCTCCAATAAGAAGATACAGAGTGGCAGGATGGGTTAAGAAGCAAGACCCAACAATATGCTGCCTCCAGGAAACACATCTCAGCTCTAAAGACAAGCACAGG